CTCAGATCCTCCAGTCCATCTGGATGATCCATTGTCTACTTCCCTGTGATCACCCTCTTTCATCCCCACCAGTCAACCCCATGGTGAGTATTAGGGGTGGGGCTGTCTATGAGATCCAGATACCTGTTTCTTATCTTTGATTTTTCCTGAGTTTTTCCGCAGTGCAGGAAGGTATTTGTCTGTCCTACATAACAGAATATGCTCCTCCCACATCTTATGTCCCAGCTACTTGATGGCTTATGGTAAAAAGTCAAGCTTTGTAAGTTTGACTCATTGATAATCAAGGGTTAACTTTCAGAGTTAAAGAAAAGACTTAATCTTTTCACTAAGTGAATTTTATAGTAAGTGTGTGACAGTTTTTGTACTCTGGATTTTAAAAAGTCTATTTTGAAAGTGAAATTCACCAAGTTATCTTTTCCCCAAGAGTAGCACAGATGGCATTTTACTCTTGTTTGACTTGGTGATGAGAAAGAAAAAACAGGAAACCATCAGAATTTCAAACCATTACCCTGTTATAGGAAATATTTTAGTGTGATTCCACAGAATTCACTGTTAGCCTACCCTGTTCACTGTCATCTCCAGAGTTCTGGGAAGGAACTAAAAAGCAGATGCCCTTTCATGGGATATTTTCTCAACACTTCAGGGATGTCGCACTACAAAAACACCCCAAGCTTAAAAACATGAAAGAGTAACAATTGTTTACTTTACAGAGATACTATTCCATGTATGTGTTCACCCTACACTTATTTTCTGAAAATTGACTACAACTCTCAGGGTGAATGATTACAAACATTTTATAGTGTGTGATCTAAGTTTCCCTGACTATAGCTTATGAGACCAGAGGTAGACACTTGACCCAAATATGAAAGATTGCATTTTCGAGGCGAAGCATAGCAATAACTTTCATCAACATGCTTTTCTTATACAGTGAACTGGTCAGACTTCCTTCAAATAAGTTCTGTCCCCTTGAACCTGGGGAGAACTTCACAAATGTTTGAACCAGAGAGTATTTTATTATATGACATCTGAGACTACTACATCATAAAATGATGTAGTTTTTGCCTGGGTTGTTCTCTTGCTATCTCCCTCCCTCCTGCCTAGCTCTCTTCTTCTTTCCAGACACATTCTCTTGGAACATAGCTGCTATGTACTCTACGAGAAATCCTGGTGGAGAGAACACATATAAGAAGTCCAGATGATGACCCCTTTGAGGTTCATCTCAAAGTCAGCATTAATAGCCAGTTAGACATGTGAGTGAGGAAGCCTTTGTGATGACTCCAGCTTTAGCCACCATCTGACTGCAACCATGTAAGGGAGCCTGAGTAAGACCTGTCTGGCTGAATTATTTGGCTTCCAGAATCATGAGAAATTATAACAAATAATTTTTATTGTTTTATGCTATATATTTAGGGTGTTTTATTTCAAAACAATGACCTACTGATACACAAAGGGAATCATGGATATTTTTACTCATTCTCCTAACAATTTTGGAGTTAAGGTACAGAGAGCTTAAATCAACTAAGTATAAAGGTCAAACAGGGATGATTATACAGACTTAATTGGTGGTGGATTCATTTCAACCAGGTTTAAACACACATGAGAAGAGCTACACATAAAAGAAATGAAACTTTCATACCGAAGGAAATAAGGAAGGGTGAAAGAGGAGAAAGAGAGAGAGAGAGAGAGAGAGGCAGAGACAGAATTGTCATGATTTGAATAAATTTCTACTTAGCTTTTGTGAATTGGTTACAGTATATATTCAAGCCTTATGTCTTACGCGCTGTTTGATATACCATAAAAATAATTGAGAATAATTATATTCTCATTATTTGCCTCAAATAATTTAAGTATGTTTTTATTTCTTGCCACTAATGAATCATGAATAAGAAAACCACTCATTTGAAATGAAAGTGGGCATACCGCGTCATATGCTTCAGCTGCAAAAACGTTTTACCTGACTTAAGAAATGAGAACACTTTGATGGTTTTGTTGGTTTCTCTGTTACTACGGAGAAGGAGACTTTTGTCTCATAAACTCTCAATCTTTAAACACAACATCACTGTTAGTTGCTGGTTGACTATTTCCTGTTCTCCATCTTCCTGAAACATGAGAGAATCACATCTCCCAGCCTCTTTATGATGGAGTGGGACTTTTTCATCAGATCCAGCCTAGAACACATGAGTAGACATGATATGTGCCACTCTGGACTTCCATTGTCTTAGTCAGAACAGCTAGTATTCTCCCTTTCTTTTGCTGTGGTTACAGGTAACTTTGCCAACAGTGGCTGATCTGACTCTTTTTGGGACCTATGAGGAAGTACAACAGAAGGTCAGCTGATCTACAACATAGTAGGGGTGAAAAATAATCCTTTGCTGTTTTAGGGAGATTTAGAAGTTGTGACTACAGCATAATACAGCCTATTCTTCATTATTTAATGAGTTTTTATCAAATACTACTAAGGAGATTGAGACCACCCAGGAAAATCTCCCTTAACAGCCCTTTCTCCTTGTCTCACAATGACCCCCCTCTTGCCTTCTTAAAAAGTCTCAGGGGAGTAGTTTTACCCTGCAATACTCCTCCTGTGCCTGAGGGGATGGCTGTTCCTTGGTATCCACATCCTTATCTCTGTTCTTCTTTCCCTTCAAATTTTAACACACTTAAATTTGTGCAAATTTTAAAGACTCTCATTTAACCTTATAAGACTAAATGTCATAGTTTCTCATCTGACAAACTTAGCTATACTTTATACAGCCTGCCTTAGCTCTCTGAATGCTTACTCCTCTACACATTTATTTTTGTTTTAATTTCTTTAGAAAACCTGGTTGCCTGAAATCATCAGAGTACATAGAGCAAGGCTACTGTCATCCCCAGATTCAGTCTTTATTCCTGTCATATGGGAAAGCTTAGATGGGCAGGACAAAGGAAGATAGCAGCATGGACACTAACAAGCTCTTCCTGCTTCCTAGAATTCCAGATATAACTTGAATATTATTCTGTGATCATTAAATTATAAAACATCAGACATGGGGCCTGGGGTGGTGGTTCAGTGGTAGAGTACTTGCCTCCCATGTACAAGGCACTGGGTTCCATCCCCAGTACCATAGAAAAAAAGATCAGACATAGGAAGGTTTTTAGAGTCTATTCTATCTCCTGATTATTATAGAAACCTCAAAGCAAGACCCAAGGCCTGGAGATGACACTGGCTAACACATTCATGATATAAAACTTACCAATTCCCCTTTCAGAAACTTTCAGGACATTTTTTTTCCGAGCTCTGCTCCCAAAACTTTTAGCTTTTCTCATTCTTGACATTTGGCATCTCAAAGGGGCATTTTCTTGGTGTTCTTAGTCTTTGAAAGACAATCTTTTGCACTCCGCCCTAGAGGTTTTGAGCTTTGTCCTCAAGCTCATCCAGACAAAGAACATTAGTGTGCAAAGTGACATTTCAGGTAAGATGCTGGCCAATATTCCTTGATCTCATTGGCCCACTTTCTTTGATCTTGGATTGTTAATGATGGCATTTTAAAACTTCATTTATTCAGATCTCACCAATTTGGAATTAGAGGGAATTGTGACAGAGACTACGTTGAGGTCTACTTTTGAGAATCAAAGAGAAAAAGTTGAACAAATTGATAGAGTTAATGATATTTAAAGGGGATATTTTTACTATTTAAGAAGAGTCTTTTAAAGTATTTTAGACTTTAGATATACATGTGACTCTTAAAGGAAGATCTGAAAGTTTCTGAGCTTTGTTTTTATCATCATTATTATTATTATTTGTAGTGAGAGGGATTAAACCCAGGTCTTCATGCACGTTAGGCAAGTGCTCACCTTAATCACATCCTTACCTCATCTCCTGAAAATTTCTCTTGGGGAATATGTTTTAATCTAGTCATTTCATGTATATGTAAGCACTATAAAACTACTCTAAAACAATCCTCCAGGGTTAGAAATACTGTGACTTAAAAGCAAAGGCGCTGCAATAGTAATAGTTGTAATGAGTAAATATACATCAGAATTGAAGTGGTCATGCACTATAATGTACAAGAGCAATAAGCAGTTTTTTGTTAAGGAATGGACACCATTGATAAGAGAGAATACATGTATTTTTAAATATAAGACCAATGCATCCAATGAGGATTTTATTTACAAGGGAGTTGGAAGTTTGGGAAGAGAGTTTGACTAAGGACAGATTCTAGAAACTATGGAGGAGCTCAAGTTGGGGATTTGGCCAATTGTCCTGTTTGGCAACACTTTGGTCAACCTGTATCTAGGCTCTGGTGAACAATCTGTACCCTTAGTACTAAAAGTGAACATGAGCCAAAGAAAATAAGATTCATGTCCAGAGAAAGAAAGTCTTGAACAAAACTCCAAACTGAAATCACTTTTCAAGGTAAATTTGGATTCTATGGGTTGAATATTTAGCTACCCTTCCTCTGATCAACTATAGTAACCACAGAAATTAAAATCGAACTAGGACCTAATGTCCAAAGGTAATGGTTCTGGGGTAAAGAAGTATGGATATAACCTTAGAACTTCTGATTCTGCTGTGAATGGGGATAGCTTTTCCATTGGTATTTACCCTGGGCTTACCTTCCTACATTCATTCTGTCTCCCATTTTTAAACATACTAGTAAAGTTTAGTTTGCATACCATAATGTTAACCCATTGGAAGTATACACTTCCATGATTACAGTTGTGGAACCATCACCACAGTCCAATTTTAAAACATTCTCATCACCCCACAAAAGTTTCCTAGCTCCTGTTTGTAGTCAGTCTTTGCTTCCACTCTTAGCCACAATAATCTTCTACATCCTTTCTTCTTCTTCTTTTTTTTGGGGGGGGGTTACTGGGGATTGAACTCGGGACCTTGCGCTTGCGAGGCAGGTGGTGGAACCACTGAGCTAAATCCCTGGTCCCCCTACATCCTTCCTTGCTTCTTAATTACCACTAGTTTAATAGACTCAGTAAAAGTATGTAGCTACTTTAAGAGACACAAGTTATGTTGAAACAGCTTTATTTTTTAATCCATAAATATCTGTTACTGACAAAAGTGGAAAAATCCTTAAGACTAAATCTTACTAAAGTGATATCTGTTTACAGTACATACAGAATGTGCTTTGACAGGTAAGGGTGACAGTGAGATTTGTACAGGAGCAGTAACAAGAGCACTGTTTATTGGGAAGCTTACATATGAGTAATGAAGAAACTGCAAAGGTACAGATAGAAAGGTAATTTTCATCAATACTACCATATATAATAAACATAGAATCCATAAATTGGGCTAATGCATAAAAATGTTCATTAATCCCCCTTAGGAAAGTGTGTCCCCAAACTAAAAATATTACAGTAAGAATTGCTTTTTATTAGAGAATTTCAAGAATTCTGTACTACAAAATATCTAGTTGAGTTATAGAACTAGAGGAATTTTTTCCACTATGAAGCAAATGAATGGGTCCTCCCATGAAGTGGCATTCAAGGGTCACTGCAGGACAGGCAGAAAAGTTGAGCAGGGTCTTCTCTTTCCTCAGCAGGAAGGGTATTAAGGAAACACACAGTGTCCTTTTTCTGATGAAAGGTTAATGTGTTTGCCAATTTACAAGATGGGTTTGATGATACTGACTTGGAATCTCCATTCTTGCTTCACAAGCCTTCACTGGGAGGACAGTAGTGTCACAATGAGGGGATAGGAAGATACTACGATGGAGTGAGTGCCCACCTCCCAGCAGCCCGGGTTGGCGGCCTCCTCTTCTCCAGTTGGAATGGAGCCTCAATGACTAGTCTTGGTGTTTAGGAGAACATTCTGGAGTGGGAAACAATAGCATCTTTTGCCACATGGAGCCTTTGCCCATTGTGAAACTCTGAGGCTTGGAATGTGTTTTCCAGCTGTTCTCAGTACAAACTTCATGCCCAAATTTCATGGGCTGACCTTTAAATCTTTCTTTTCCAGTCCATTCCCTCTCTGAAATTGGAACTGCCTCCCTCCAGCTATAGGAACCACATCAAAAATGAAAGCTCTAAACTCAGAATTTCCTAGTGACAGACACCTAGGTGGCTTCGGTGTGTCTGTATGAGAGGCTTCGTGACATGTGGTTGGCGTCTTGCTGAATAGTCAGCCGTTAATCTTCAGGTACGAGAGCATCTGTGGGTGGCCAGGACCATCAGGCCAACCCCAGGCTCTGTCGAGGAGTCTGGTGGCTGTCTAGGGGATCTGAGGATGTCTTTGTAGGGGGCAGGCATAGGTGGGATATGTGCAACTCAGTTGAGGTAGGGAGGAATGTGGAGAAAAAAAGGTGCAGAAGGGGAATGAAAGTCCTAGAATTTAGGATCTTGATGAAACTTGGAATCTCATCTAATTGAAGGAGCTCATTTTGCAGATGGGAAAACAGAGGCACTGAGCAGGAATGTGACTCCTCTTGGTCACATGGTAAGATGGAGACAAAGCCAAGGCTAGAAGCCATGTCTCCAGAGCCTCAGCCTTGTACCTTTTTCTCCTTGAGAATGTTGCCTTGCAAAATCAAATACAGAGCCCAGCAAGACTGACCTTTCATATTGAATCTACCATTAAAATGCTGCATTTTGTAAAAAATAACATTTAACTTTCACAAAAAAGAGTTCACTGAAGCACAACAGGTTTCCTTGAAAATATTCATGAACAAAGTTCCCCAGATATGGAGAGGATGATAGAAGAATGCATGTAGCAGATGGAAGGTAATTTTCTAGCTCTTCTCAGAGCAGGTACCTTCCAGGGTCCAAGTGATTGGCAGCCCTTTCAAACTATTACCTTGAGTCAAGTCCACAGCTGCCTATGGAAGGAATCAGGGTTGGAGGCTGGTGCCAGACAAGGTATCTCTGAAGGTGATGGATTGAGTTTGGTGGCAGGGATGTTGGGGTGGATACTCTTCTGTGCTTGGAGAGTCATGAGGCCTGAAAATCTTCTGAGACAAAGGGGGAATTGTGAGGCACACTCGTAGGAAGGAGGAGTAAGTGGCTGAAAATCCCCAAAGGTATGAAAATTTGGCCAGAGGAAGAGCCTCTGGGCTAGTAGCAAGTTGTGTCAGGAGCTTCATGGTTTTACAGGTGCAAGAACCAAAGCTGATCTTTTGGCTGTGATACCTCTGGCCCAGCAGCCTCTCCCTTCCCTCCCAAAGATCAGAATGGGAGAGAGAGCCCTCGGCTTCATGCCATGGAGTATCATCTCATGAGTATAACAAGTGAAAGATAAACCAGAGAGGCAAACAGAGGACCTGAAGAATGCCTGATTCTTCCATGGTTTTCCCCCAGATCTCTAATTCTTAAAACTGAAGACTATAGCAGGACCAGGGAAAATAAATTTGAGATGGAGGGTGGTAAACAAGGAAGCAGATGGGAGGAAGGGAAGAGGGAACTGGTATAGGAGACTGAGGTTAAAATGGAAGTGAAAGTGGAAAGAGAGGGGGAGGAGAGAACTTTCTAAGGGACAAAGACCCACCACCCAAGACCCTGGGTGTCCCTAAGGACAGAAGCTCACTTAGGATGTTAGGGAATTCTTGCAAAGCCTTTGTGACTCAAGAGTGCTTGGACCCAGGAGTTCACTGGAGGAAGCAAGACCACAAGGGAGGATGGGCATGAGGGGCACATAAAGACTCAGGAAGAACATTCAGGGCAGGAGAAACCTGTGCAGAACCCAGTCCATTCCGATCAGAGCAAGGACGACGCAGAAGAGAGAACAAAATGAGCAGAGGAAAGTCTTGGGCATCAGGGTTCCTTTGCTAGGGACAGGGGCCCTTTATGCAGAAGGAATGGCCCTTCTACTTGTGGCAGAGGCCAAAAGCATGGCTGGGCTAGAAGCTGTGGTATCTGGATTCCAGACCCAGAACTCTCTCTAAAGTGAACCTACCTGGCAGTGTGGCTTTGCTTATTCCATAGAGATAGATGAGACAGCAGAGCAAATGGGGTCTCCTTTTATTGTGCCTCCCACCTTACTGTGGGTTGATAGACTCCCAGACACATACTGGATGCTAAAACCACGGGTAGCGGGTAGTGCTGAATCCCTTATGTACTATGTTGTTTTTTTCTTATACATACATACCTGTGATAAAGTTTAATTTGTACAGTAAGCACAGGAAGAGATGAACAATAATATTAACAATAAAATAGGACAATTATATCAATATACGATAATAAAAGTTATGTGAATATGCTCTCTCTTTTCAGTCAGGACAAATATTAATATTTTTGGACCGTGGATGACTGCAGGTAACTGAAACAGGGCAATACTAACTGTGAATAAGGGTGTGTACTGTACTTTTATGTCCCAATTAAGACACAGTGTTCTGGATTTTGAAATGGGAACCTGAATTGAAGCAAGTGTGTAGGCCTAAGTCTCTTTATCGCTTTCGCTCTTTCTTTCCTACTCCCCCTCTCTCTCTCCCCCTCTCCTTTTCTTCACTCTTCTTACCCGAGGATAAAGCAGAAGAAATCCTTTACAAGGAATAAGCATCCCAGGTGAATTCTGTGATTTCAACTGACAAAAGAGATTTTAAACCTGACAGTGGTTAAGACTTGGAATGAAAACTATTTTGGAATTAACCTATCAAACAAACCCTGAGACAGACAGAAACATACCTTGTCAGAGAGAAGGCTGGGGCAGGAAGCCCAGGGGGCTGGAGAACTTGGGGTCCAGAAGATGTTTGGTAGGCTGAGACAGATCTCTAGTTTAGTATGTGCAGTATAGACACCCGGGAAAGAGAGTCTCACCTACCCATGACCTGTTCCTCCTCACAAGCAAGTGGACTTCAGGGGAACTGGCCAGGGGCTAGAGAGTCAAAGGGTTCCGGGCTTGGCGCTCGAGCTGTGTGACACACTTTTACTTCTAGGAGTGTATATCTGCTCTTTGTAGATCAAGTTCCTCTTTTCCACCCTCCTTAGCCTTACCTTCTGGAACAAATGCTCATAAACCTAAGGGACCAGCCCTTCAGAAGGTTTATGTTTGTGGGGAGGAAAGCAGAGAGTCAGTCCTTGCCTCTCAGCCTTGAGGTCCCAGAGACACTTCCCCAGCGGGGATGTTGAGGGCTTCAGTCATAACCCCAACCTTTATCCCCTTGTGATTCATATGACCCAGTCTTGTTCAGGCTGGCAGGTGAGCTTTGGGGAGAGGAGAGAGGTTTGGAATTGTTGAAATCTGTAAGAGGCAGCATGCCAATGATTTGGTTAGATTAAAAATTCCCAGGGCGGATGAGTTCTCCCCATCCCGTCTTTTTAAAGGACTATCCATGTGGAACTAAAGAGAATGTAAAATGCTCCTTAAGGGCATTGTTGCTGGAATCTGACTGGTGACAGTCTGGTTTTAGTACTAAACCTTCACCAAACAGTCTGGAGCCGATTCCTCCAAGGTCTGGCCCAGGGAAATGCCCTGGCCCTGAGAATGGGGGATCCTCTTATGCCTCTACCCCTAGTATTGGAGGAGCAATTGCTGTGTTCCTTGTTAGCTCCCTAGTAGGTAGTCACACCTGCCCACCTCCAGGGCTGGAGAGAGAGAAGAGACTGTGATGGGGTAGCACTGGGGCCCCCCTCATGGAGCTGAGGGTAGGTATGGATCTGCCTGTTGCTACAGTACCCCCTGCAGGAAGGACCAATGAGCTGGGGAGATACCCAATTAGGTCCTGAACCAGTAACCTGGATCAATACCATTGTTTATTTGCATTTGCCAATGGGTCTTTGTCCCTTTGATCCACTGGTGTGCTGAAAGGGCAGCCAGGGGAGAGTAATGGAATTAGGGGCATAGGAGAAAATCCATGGTGGGGAAAGGGAAGAGAGGGAGAGAATGGGATCTGAGTACAGATCTTATTCTCTAGGGGCCCAGTGAGTGGACAGAAGTGGGGAAAGAGGAGCAGGCCGGTGCAGGACAGCCACCTCAGGAAGGTCCTCCTTGTTTGGGGCTGAGCATCCTCTCTCTACAACCTTCTGCCTCTATCCTGCCTGAGGTGCATGCTGGGGGCAAGTAGAGCCTTGGACGATGGGAATGGTGAGCCCCTGAGATCCTGGGCGTCACACTGGCCCTCCCCACCTGGCTATTTCTGACCACACAGGCATCTCCTGGGAATAGAGCAGGGGGAGAGAAGGCAGGCCTGAGTGGTGGTCAGAGTTCAGACCTAGAGGCCTGGAGGCAGTGGGGAGATGATCAGGTGGCCAGGAGGACTCCCCTAACCCCATCATTCCCCTCTGGAGGGGAAGAGCTAAAGCCTCGAAGAACCGGAGGGTGAAACAGCTGGGCTGGAGGGGAGCAAGGCCCCCCACAGGAGAGGGGCCAGGGCAGCCAGCTGGAATGGGGCTGGGTTTCCAAAGGGAGGCAGCTGCAGGAGGGGAACCCTCCCTGTCCCAGGATAGAAGGGAGGAATGAAGGGCCCAGGGTCAGCAAAGGAAGGGCCACTCACTTGGTGGGGACCAGAGAGTTCCAGCAGGCAGAAGAGAATCAGTATTGTGCTTATGACACAGAAGCTCTCTGTCTTGAGAGCAAGCAGGCAGTTTTTAGGCACTAGAAGATTTCTGTGATGTGGTTCTAGGTGAATGGATAAGACCGAGTAGCCTGTTTGGTCAGCCCACTGACTGCACCCGCTGGCCTGTTTCAATCCAGACAGTTTTAGATCAGGGTCAGGTGAAGGTCTTTTGGCTGACAGAACCTGGGCAGAGTCCCCTGGGTGGGGAAGAGGATGTGGGACCAAAGGGCGTTGTGAGGGTAGGAGGGGTGGGACTGGGGCCCCACCCTCTCCTTGCTCCCTATTGATTCTATTGGAAGAGTAAAAGCAGATGCTCTAGGTCCTGGGTCTGAGTGTGCTGGACCAGGCTGTCGGAGCTGGGTCCCCCAGGAGTATGGCTTTCTGGACAAGGCGGCCCACCCCCACCTCCAACGGAGGAGACCCGGAAAGGGAAAGGGACAAGTAGAAGGCTGGAAGTTCTGCCCCGGAGCCCTGCTCTGTTTTGCCCTGCCTAACCCCAGGCGCCCAGTCGGGCTCCGCCGGTCACACGGTCACTTCAGTCTTGCTGGCTGTGTAGCAGGTGTGGTGGCCCGGTATGTAGTGCAGCTGCTCCACCGTGTTGTGTCTTCGCGAGGCAAAGGCGTGGCGCTTGGCTGCTGTCTGGTTCTGGCCCAGGGTGGCGTAGGAGTTATTGGAGGCACTGGGATGGGAGTGCATCTTGGTCATGCGGTAGCGGTCCAGCACGGGCGTGGACACAAAGACGTCCGTGTGGGAGATGGCCCGCGACAGGGACTGCTCGGGGAAGGCCGTCCGCTCTGGGGACAGCAACGGGTCCTGGGAGTGCAGGCGCTCAGTGGAAAGCAGCTGCTCATCCGACAGGATGCGGTCATAGGGCATGCCGAACTCATCTGGCAGGCCCCGCTGGGGGGACAAGACCCTGTCCTGGGACATGGCCCGGATGGGCCGGCGGGGGCGTTCCCGCGGCAGCGGCTTCTGCTGAGACATCTGGATGACGTTGAGCGGGAGGGTGCCGCGGGCAGCCAGGTCGGGCAGATGCCTCCGCCTCATGTAGTACTCATCAGCCTCCTTGTCGGCTGCAGAGGGAGCAGACAGAGAAGGAAATGGGGTGACTTCGGACTGGGCTTGGGGAGAATCCTGCGGCCCTGCTGTTGAGTTATCCATCTAAAAATCCTCAAGGACGACACGGTTAAAGCCTTTTAGTGTATGGAATAGGACTTTGAGGCTCAGGTGAGGGTGGTGCTTCTCCACTGAAGGTGCAAACTAGTCCCTGGGAGCTAGTGAATTGCAGATTCTGATCCAGAGCCTCACGTGTCTCCAAGGGACTAAATCTCTAACACAGTCCCAGGTGCTGCTCCCGGTCCAAGGACCACTTTGAGTAGCAAGAGGTTAAGGGACCTCTTCAAAATAAACAGAGAGCTCAGGGCAGAGACAATGGCAAGCCCAACTCCTTGGGCTCCTCCTACTCCTGACATCTAAGGCCCCCTTCAGTAGGGGCAGAACGCCCAAGGAACAGTTGGAGTTTTGGTCTAGAGCCTCTCTTTACAGAAGCTGTGCCGCAGAACCAGCCTCCTGTTGGAATAAAGCAAAATGTTCTAGCTAAGAGGCATTTGTGAGAAATCTTGCCTGGTAACTTAGGAACATAGTAACACCTCTGAAGTAGCCGCCAGTGCACAGGAAGCTAATGCGTGGCACCCAGCACCCATACAGTCGCCTAATTAGCCTACACATACTGCACCTGTGCTCACAACATAGAAGGGTGGAGCAATCCTACATGTGAATCTTGCTCCGTTCTCCTCTCCATCCAGTAGGCCCCCTCAAACTCACACTGCCTTCTGAACTGACCCAGGACACACAAACCTGCACTGTCCCAAATTTCAGCAGTGAGGTTTCTTTCAGACAGTTCTCAAGATTTGTGCCAAGCCCCAAAACATTGTTTCCTTCTCAGTTATCACAGAGGGACCACTGATGGGTATATTCTGGGTACTGAGCCACATTTCCTCATCTTGGGGCATCGATCAGATTTCTTAGATCATCAGATATGCCCACTTTCTGCCATAAAAACTCAGTGTTCCACCAGGGGGATGGATGAGGTGCACTTGGGCTGATCTCCATTGGAGTACGGCTTGGGACTAGAGTTAGTGGTCATCAAAAGAGACTCACCAGGAAATTCAGGGAGAAGGCCCAAGGGTCAGAAGTCCAAGAAAGAAGAGCTATCCTCAATGTATTTTCTTAACATTTTAGTGTCTTAAACCCATCAAGGCATGCAGACTCCCCAGAATTCAAGTGCCAGAGCAGGAATCCCTGGACTTAACTGATGAAATACAGTAAATGTGGAGAGATGGGAGTCTCAGGTTCTCAAGATGGTGTTGGCTGAGTTAGAGAGGGAGCTGATTATGGGTCTCTGGAGGGGTCTCACAATAAGCTCTGGACATTGGTAACCACTATTCCAAAATGGGACAGAGAGGAATGAGAGCCCATGGTTTGCAGAAGGCTGATGGGCAAGTTGTGCAAGACTGGGGAGGGCTTTCTATAGGAATATAGGAATTATTATATTATTATATATATTATATATATTATTATATATATTATAGGAATGCAGATCTAAGAATCCATGACTTCTGTTCTGTCTATGGCAAGAATGGACTTACGCCCCAAAGGAGAAAAGTAAGATGCTTGCATATAGTACTCTTCTTCCCACATACAACTCATTCTTTGTTCTTGGGATTGAGCAGTTGTTCTCTTGGGGACAGGACAAGAGAGAGAAACAGAGAGGAAGATTTCTTGGAGACATCAGAGACAGACCTCAACCCTGGGAGGAACTTGGCTTACTTAGCCTCTTCAGAGATGAATACTTGCTCGGGTTGGTCTTTACTGCAGACTCATAGGATGGGGGCAGGTGTGCCAAGTTCTGGAAAGAGCGGGAGAAGGAGAGGTCATAGGGCTCGGTGGCCGATGTCAGGATGTTGTTCATCCGAGGCTTCTCTGCAAAAAAAAGGGAAAGGGTGTGTTGCATTAGTGAAGGCTTGGAGACGGGATTGTCCGGGTCCTCTCTCTGTACTTTCTGACTCATCCTTAACTAGAGTCCTCATCCTGCTTTGCTGGACCTCTGTGCTAGGACCCAGGAAGTGCCACTGACACAGTTTCCCTTATGCTCAAGTCCAGTTATCAATAGCCTGGAGGCAGGTGCTGTTTTAGCTGTCACTGATCCCCTTCCATGAGTCCATGAACAGCAGACTCAACTCTGAGGTTTGGAAGCATATTATTGCTCCAAGTATGTCACTGGCTTGTCTGATGAAACTGTAAACCTGATGAAACTGAGGAACATGATAAAATCATCTACTTCTGTGCAAAAGTGCTATCCATCTCCTAACAGCTGTAGACAAGCCCATCTCAGGTTCAGACAAACCTGACCTGGGAGGAGCTGTACTGCCCTGCTTTATGTGCCAACCCCAACCAACACTCTATCCATAATTTATCCCTCTTCCCAGGCAGCTCCTACCTGGGAATCTGCATGTTCCACACCTGACAATCCCCTGTGAGCCACAGAGCCATTGTATCTTACTTTAATTCCTTTCTCAGAAGTCCCCTGAGTCAACTCTAAGCTGGTAGAGGAAAGAATGTGGACAAAAATGCTTATCACATCCTTCATTTTTTCCCCTCTTCCCCAGAAATACAGCCTTGAAATTTCAAAATCAGAAGAGAGAATGGAATGTTATTCAATGCCAGACCCAGGGAAAAGGATGGAGGAAGGAATGGAAAATAAGGTGAAAGGGTAATAAAGTGAGTGATTACTGGGGGCACCATGCAGGGTGAGCTGGGCTTGGTGGGGTCATTAGGAATAACACAGGAGAGGGGATACATGGCTGGGTGAGGGTTGGTGGCCAAAATGGGGATCAGAGAGGAATTGAGACCCAGGGAAGTGGGCTTTGTTGTTTGATAGACAGGAAGAGAGGAGCCACAAGAAGAAGTCAACAGGTGGGTGCTGGGGGAAATTATGGTATCATTCCCAGAAATGAGGTAGGTGGGAGTCTACATTTGAACTGCATCATATCTCTATCGTCTTTGGTTGAGACACTTCAAGACCAAAGAAGTCTGAGAAGTGCAAGACAATGTGGGAACGGATTTGCAAACTGACTATGATTTCTTATACTGCTAAGCAAAGGGTGCTGAGTCATGGAACACAACAATTCTGTGAACCATGGGAGAGAGAGAAGCCCTCCTAGGCCTTACGCACAGGCACCCCAGGCACAGGGAACTCCTGACTTCTCTATTCCTTTCTGCCTGCATTGTTACCCCCAGCACTGGGGATTGAGCCAGGGGATCTCAGCCAATATGCTGGTGTTCACAACAGCTCGGTACATATGTGAGGGGGTGGGGGTGCTCTGCAGCCTCAAGAGATCAGAACACGCTGTACAAAACGATCCTCCCTGGCACAGATCATGACAGATGCCAGGAAGTGGAGGGGGCAGGGACCTGGAAGCATTGTTCCCTCAACTTGGTTAATAGCCACCAATATCTTAGCTCTTATTCTTTTATTTCTAGCCATGATAGAAAACAGACTTTCCTCTTCCTGTTGATATCATACTTCCAATGAAGGCATTTCTCAGTTCACCCTCTTCCAAAAGCAGTATTTCTGGTTACCGCTGTCTGATCACTCTTTTATTTTGTTTTGAAACATACCACTGAGCCAAGGACAGCTCTTTCTTGCCTTCTGCATCCACCAAGATTCTCATTCACCCCTAGCTCAAACTCTTCCTCCTACTGAAATGTCTTGACTTCCTCTTCTTCTATCAAATTCTCCTTTCACTCAAGGATCTTGGCTGTGGCCACGTGACATCTTTTCAGGCTGTGCAATATCTGCTGATCCAGCTTACATTATTCTTTGGTTAGCTCCACTCAGTTTAGTGTCTAACTGATCTCTAGTAATTTGACTTGAGTCAGTGTTGTTGAGCTCTAAAGAGTGTAATACCCTTGGCATCACAGTCTTGCTTGCTTTTCATTTCTCTCCTTCTTTCCTCCTTCTCTTCCTCCCTTTCCCTACTCTCTTTCTTTTCTCTCTCTTTCATTCCTTCCTCCCTCTCATCCCTTTCTTCCTCTTCTCTTTGCTTCCCTCCCGCATTTCGCCCCCTCCTCTCCCTTTTCCTTGGGATGAAACCCAGGGCCTCTAGAATGCCAGAGGAGCACTCGATCACTGACCTACACCAACAGCCCTCCAGTTCTTCTGATTCTTTTATATTGCATGGCCCCAAATAAGGATTCAATTGATACTCCTTGTTGATCAAGTAGACGCAGGCCTCTTCTTCTCTTAATAGTTACTCTGCCAGTTCCTTGTGGGAAAAGATAATATCCAAGAAATGAATGCAGAGAAACTGCTCCTAATACACTGTGAGCTGCTCAAGTGCAGGCATTGAAGTTCATCTACCCTCAGCTCCATGTACCACAGAAGACAGGAAGAGAAAGAGGAAAACGTAGTTCTTCCTTTTGTATTCAGGAGTTTGTACTTGTGCTGGTGCCTTCTGAGGAAAGCCAGTTCAGTGGTTGCTCTTTCCAGAATGCTACTGAGCAAGTGGGAACTCTCCTTGCTCCTTTTCTGGCTCTTCTTCCTGGTGCTTCATCACCGTGGGCATCCCCCAGGCTCCCTGTCTCTGCCTTCTGCTTTTCTCTTTCAGGATTCTTGCACAGATTGTCTCCACTCCCAAGACTTCTGTTACTATCTTCAAAGCTTAACTTACGTCTTCAGTTCTAACCTCTCCCCACTCTGTATTCCTGCCTTTTCTTCTTGCATATCCTATAATCATATCAATTCTAGCTAGATGTCCATATCTAAACTCCCATCAACAACTTCATCCTCTGTGCATACTGATTGATTTCCTAATTGTTTAGATGGTGTGAAAAGCCCCACTCCCATTCTTCTAATCAGTCTTGGCTAATCTTTGTACTCATCATTGGCTCTCATCAGCCATATTCAGTTAGTGACCAAGCTTTTCCAATTCTTTCTTCAAAATGTTTCATATCTCAGTCTTCCTTTCTCTTCCCACTGTCAACTTTACCACTGGTGTCAACTTCTTTTAAGTGATCTCTCCAATTTCTCTCAGTTCTAATTTTTCTCAGGTCCTATAGCCTGAAACATCTCATTTACTGCTGCTTTCCACTAGGAACACAGCTCTGGAGGAGCACATCAAAATGTACCTCTCCTCTTGTCCTAATTAAAATGCTCCTCAAACACAGTGCTGAACTACAGCATAATCTGCCTTATGAGTGGTAGTTCTCTCTTCCAGGCGGGTTGTTGAACTTATCTTTAAGTTTCTCTCCCATGAAAAGTTCAAGAATGTTTTTACTCCTTCATAGAAAAGAGGCAAGAGTGGCTCAGAGTTCACAATTTACATGGCTGTCTTACATTTTACTGTTTGGAAAAGGCACCCCAAATAGTTTTCCTCTGTGGTTCCAAAGGTTAAGGTTTGATCTGTTGGGAGCACATGAAAGTCTAAGAGGGAAATATGGTTTTGAAACCCTTTGGCACTATGTTCACATTCCTCTGCCCCACAACTTTCACCCTTTTCTCCTGCCAAGAAGTTAAAGCCCAAATGAGTTTTGAATTTTATCCGATTGTAATTAGTTTGCATCATATTAAGGTGGCTTAACCAAGTCTCATGTCATTTGTAAATGATACCATAAGAAGCTTTTTTATTCTCCTTGCTTTAGACATACAGAATCTATGCCCGCAAGGAATGATATACATTGCAAACATTAATGGGTTAAGAAAGCGTTGAGCTTCTTCCTTTTTGTGGCAAAAATCCCTCTGCTGTCAAGGGACAAAAACGCCAATGGGGCAGTGATCTAAAAGGAAGGGGTGACGATTGGTGGCCCTGGAGAAGGGTAAACACATGGCTCTTCCATCTCCTCATTTTCAGCAAGTCAGTGACCATGTGTCTGATGCTCTGGTGGGCATCTGTGGTTAGAATGGAGCAATGTGCAATGAGAATGGAATGCAGAGTGCTCTGAATCATCTCTCACCATGTGTAGGGGTCTGGGTAGCACTGCTTAAAATCGGATGATTATACTGACGATCACCTGAAAGTCACAGAAAAGAAATTTTTAAAGAAGAGTTCAGGCATTCCACAGCAACTCTTTTTACATCTTATATGTTTCTATGACTCAAGGAAGTCCTTCTAAGAAAGGCAGGAGATAGTGTACTAGGTTCAAAGAAACTTCCTCTGCTATTTCTGTCTCTCTCCTCCTGTAGCTGGGCTTCCTCTGTCACCATAGTGACCCACACATCTCTGGGCCTGGATGACCAGCTGAAGAAAACTTTGTTGGGGCAGGGACGGGCTGAAGAGGAAAAGGATGGAGACCAGGGAACACTTGACAAGCACACTTGAATAGGGTAGAGGTCAGGGGAGGGGCAATACCAGATTCCTTTTCGGGCAGAAGGGAGAGTATTAGGACACAGCTAACCAGGAAAAGCATGCCCTGACTTAAGGTATTGGTGCATCCTGAGATGTAGCAAGTTGGCCTGTGAACCAACCACTGTCCAAGATGAGAAGTCCTGGATTCTAGACAAAATGATATAGCCCAATAGTTCAAAAACATTTCCTTTATTAATAATGCAAAAGCCCACTTAGACTGATTGATCCACAAAATTAATACCCCTAGTTTCCAGAGGGTAGAGTTCAGAATATCCCAAGGGCTTCTAAAAGATTTTAGAAGACTTACTATTAAAGTACATTCTAATATTGGAACATTGTATTATCGCTTCAGCTCAACACTATTTTCTTGTTTCTTCATGGTTCACATATCAAATTTCAACCCAAGTAAGGGGAAGAAGAGACATGAGGTCTTTGCTTTAATTTACTCAACTATAGATTAAGCTCTGTCATCTTTGTGGGTCTAGGATATCTATCCCCTTTTGTGCACATCTTAATATTGAAACTGTCTTTTTTATTCTTAGCATTATACTCTCCAGATACTCATTATCTATCTCCTTTATTATATCCCTTTTCTTCCAGGTATAGGGGCTCCATTAGGCTCCAGTATCTTTGTATGATTTCAGGTATATTCCATGGCTTCTGCCTACTTACCCAAATTGATAATTCTCATATCTATACCTCTAGCCTGAGGTCAATCTGATGCATAGGGTTAGGTTTTATATGGACATCTCCTTGAAATTTCTGTCCTACCCTAAACCATTAAGTTCCAAAGTGAGTTTTTCATGTTACTCTCCAATATTTATGTGCCTGTCCACAGTATTAATGTTACTTAGGCTTGGAATGTTACACTTCAGTCATCTTGACCACTTCCCTCTTCATTCTGCCTATCCAGTGAACCCCCAAATCTTCTTCCTATAGTCACCTCCTATATTCAGGTCCATAATATATCTTTTGTCCAAAATCAATATTTCTCTTAGCTCTAGACTCTGGACATTTCTAAGACAAATCATTCCTGTCTTCCTACCAGACAATATTTGCCAAATGAGTAGAATCATTGTTATCTTTTCTTTATGAATACTGCAGTCTTTAAATAGTTAATCATGCTATGCAATGGATGTGTGGGTTTAGGGAGAAGGCCAGAATTTCTCACATGAAAATAGTGATGCTCCCAAAGACAGATAAAGTTATAGCCAGGAAAGAAACTATGTGGCAAAGGTTGAATCTAATTGGTACTGGACCTTGATTTAAACAAGAAAAGAAAATTCAAGGAGGGAGATAAAGAAGTTGTTTCTTTTATTGGTTGTTATCCAGAGGCCAGTAGAAAACCAGATTTATTCTTTTCTTTATGTGTTTATTTGGTTTGTTCGTTGTTTTTTAAGCAATATGACAGAATCAAGAAATGAGAGAGTCCATGTTGAATGGTGAAGAGTGACAGTTAGTGACAAATACTTCTGCTCTTCCATTTCAGAGTCCAGGTGACACTAGAGAAGGGTTATAGATAGTTCAGATTCAGACAATAATTTCTGATAGCCAATTATGATACATGCCACTTGCTAAACTCTTTCATGTGCATTTTACCTTTAAATTATTTTTATGATTTTAATTGTACATATTTTGGGTTATAATGTGACATTTCAATACACGTATATGGTGTATACTGACCAAATTAGGTAATTAGCTTTTGCATCTCCTCATCATTACTCTGTTTGAAGACTTTGGGTTCTCTCTTTGATTATTCATAAAATATATAATAGTTTATTGTGAAGTATAGTCCCCCACTGTGCTGTAGAGCAGCAGAATTTATTCCTTGTATCTCACCATTTTGGTACTTGTTATCAACCTTCCTCAATCCCAACTGTCCCCCAACCTTCCCTGACTCTAGCACATATGCCTGGATCAATGTGTTTAGCTTCTACATATGGAGTGAACATGCAAAATATGTCTTTTGTGTCTGATGTATGTCACTCAACATAATGTCCTCCGGTTCCATCCATTTTCACATGCATTTTCTAAACTAATCTTGACAACAATCTTCATGTGAATAATGAGTGGAGTGAAATGAATATATATTATTGGCCTATTGGACATTGTATAAAACCCTACTTCCCCTAATTGCACTCTTCTTTTTTAACACATGAGGTCACAAACCAGATAAATGTCCTAAATTTAGATATTTTGTATATAAGTGTAAGACTTTTCCTTTTGTTTGAAGCTCATTGACATCTTTTTCCTAGCATTTGATTTTTCTCCTACATTGGTATTAAGAAACATTTTTAATTGAATGTAAAGATGAAAATTAAAACTGCCCTAAAATAACCACTATGACATTTTGTTCCATTTCCTTTTATTCCCTTTTCTCCATAAATGACTGTGTGTGCTTCCACAAATACATGCATGCATACACACACACACCAATATTTTGTGTATGTGTCATTTTTCACATTGATTATAGTTCTTAAAATGGATTAAGCCACGATGATGATTTGATCCTCATACTTCTGCAAAATGACAAATATATGAGGCTATTCATTGCAACATGTTTACACTAGCAAAGGCAAGGAAACAATTCAAATGCTCATTCATATACTTATATATACATACAGAGATAAAAATATATTATTTCCCCATTGCAAGCATAACATATATATTATTTTAACCTTTTTTATAGTTAGTGAACAATATATCTTGAATATGATTTCCCATTTCAAAATATTTCTAAAACATCCATGATTTCACAATTGTTTCTCTATAGAATGTTCTTTATTTCTACATATCACTTAAAAATTTTGTATTTGTTTAAGCATAATATATTTAAGCATTTTCCTATTTTTGTTATTTAGATTAATTAAAAGTTTAATAATGTCACACCAAACAACCTTGAACATAAATCTCTGACCATGTCTCATTTCCTTAGGGTCATAATTAAAAACATTTCTAGGTCAACACGTCATCAATTGCCTAGTAATATGACAAAGTATGTGATATGTTTTCTCATAGTAATACATTCATCTATTCCTGTGGCATACCCTAATTGATTCTGGTGTCTTATTATTTCATTACAATTCTGGATTGTATTTGTTCATATTTAATTTATTACATGTATACTCATAAAGAAAATTTGTATTTTTTTGCTAACACTGCAAAGTTTTTATATTATGATCATGATTTTTTAAAGCCAAATGAATAACACTGCATCTTTTTCTAGGCTTTGAAACTTTCAATATAGCATATAAAATATATATTGTTTGAAGTTTGAAGCAATGTAGCAGTATAAAGCGCCTAGTAAGTTTAGGGGGAGGGTTCTACTGTAAGCATACTGCTAGATGCTTGGCTTATGCTCTTTAATTCACTGTCCAAGAACTTTGGGAAGTAGATGTTGTCATCACCAAGTTAGAGATAAGGAAACTGAGGCTTGACAAGATTGAATATTTTGCTCAATGTTACGCAGTTAGCAGGGAAAGCTAAGAAGCAAACTTTGGCACGCTGGTGAGAGAGCTCAAATTCTTAACCATTATGTGTACCGCCTTCTCATGCTAGGCGATGAGATCCTTGCATCTGGATTTATTCAACCTTTCTAACTGTAATTTCATTTTTTGGGAAAAATATATACCTGACATTTAAAACTTTACAACTTAAAACTAACACGCTCTACAAAACTTTCTCTCTCTATGAAGGCATACCCCTTTTTTTCTTTATTTTCTGTGTTAATATTTTCTGGATTAACTATTCACATTAATATTCTTTTCTAAAGAAATACCTCATACATACTGATTCTGTATTTTTATCTTCAAATCATTGTTTTATGCTTTTGGATTTGGTAACCCCTGCCTCTTCAGTTTCTTGTTTGTTTGTTATTGTTTTGTAATTTCTTGGCTTTAATCTTTAGTCCATTTATTTTCTCTCTTTTCTGTGAAGAAAAAGCTAAGGTCTTCAGCTATGAATTTGTCTCTAGTGCTCTCCCATGAGCATTGGTATCTGGTGTTTTGATTTTGCTGTCCTAAATGATCTGTAATTGCATCCTTGTCGATTTCCTCTTTGACTCAAGAATTTTATAGCACAATGTCGTTAAACTTCAAGTTTTTGGGCTTACTGGTTTGAACTTTTGCCATAAATTTTCAGCTTTTTCGCACAAGCCTGTCCAAATTTTCCTTTTTTTTTTTTTTTTTTTTGAACTTACACAGATTTCCTTTGTGGGATAATAGAAGATCAATTTTAATAAATGTTTCATGAGTTTTTACAGAACAGGTATATTTTTGCTTTATAGAGTACAAAATTGACATCTATCTATTAAATCAGACATATGAAATACATTATTCAGTTCCTCTATACTGTAATTCATTCTTTACCTACTTAATCTGTCAAAGACTTAAGGAGGTATGCTAAGGTGTCCCACTATACTCATGTTCCTGTCATTTTCTCTTTGAATCTGATAAAGAAATGGTTATCACATCTACATTATGCAGCACAAAAAAAGGTTCATGATGCTTACATCTTCTTTGTACATTGTACATTTTATTAACATTAAATAACACTCTGTCTTGTTTTTTTTTTACTCTGTCTTATTTAAGTTCACTTGATCTGATATTTATACTGCCATCCTAGTTTCCTTTTTGCTTATATTTGCCTGATAAACTTTGCCTATGC